GTTTTGGTTGGTGCATGCTGGGAAGCCGAGATTTGGCTTCCTTCAACGCCTTCATCCTTTCCTTCACCTTGTTCTCTGGATCCTTGAAGCCGAGCTTCTCCGCACCCTTCCTCAGCACTAGCCAGAATGATCAAATGACATACTGTAGTACAGATCGAACAGGTCCCCACTTGGCATGGAAAGCGTGACTGTGTTTTTGACAATGTAATTGCATTCAGGTGTCAGTGTGTACTGTGGACGGCCATCCTTGTCCGTATAGACAATGTATAGGTCTCCCACATGTACTCCCGCTTGTCGTTCTCTGATTTCCACACTCCAGTCCTGCATGGCAAGCTTTTCCACAAGAATGTATTGCCTCAGCTAACTCACCCCATACTCTAGTTAGCTTCATATAGCCACTTTCAACTGGTTGATACAAAAGAACCAAGTGCATGCATGATACGCACGGGTTCTCTTGTTCTTTCTTTTCTGGTTGACCAGCTCCAGCTGTTTGGAGGGCTCCGGCAAATGCCCAGTGGCCTTGTTTAGAGCTTCCTGTTGCACCTTACTAATTCTGAAGGCAAACCGAGACCCGGCTATCGTAGTGAAGTCCTCAACCTCAAGCTGCTCGATCATACTTTTCTTCTGTCTTCCTCCTGACTTTTTCTTTGGTTCCTGCACAGGACAAAGGGCTTCCTTTTAGACCGGCCCACGGACTAAACCATGACCATACCACAGGTTTGGCACACGGACATTGGCATATAGTACACCAGTTGTATAGCACCATCCAGAATACCACACATGATGGCCAGGCCTCCTCCTGCTTCACCTTTGCTGCGCTGGTGGCAGAGGCTTGGAAAGTTCCCGAACCTGAGTTCCCAAGAATGATAGTGTCAGGCGTGAAAAGAAGGGTATGCCAGTTTGTGTTCTTTTCTTGCGAAGCCAATGCACCATTTTCACAAACAAGAGCCAAGCAACTCTTGGTACGAATCCGTTTCACTGGAGCATCCAATGGTGGAGCTTTGCGCTTTGGCGATGTTTTGTCAATCTCTGCATCCAACTCCTCTTCTAAATCCTTTGGCTTTCCAGAAGCCTGCACGGTTTGAGAATCACCCTCAAACAAATTCAACAGTACACTAAAGATTCCCAAACAAAAAGACTTATAAAAGTTGTTGTGCACATATAGGCTACACTGTCACGCTGACACTTGAGCACTTCCGGGATAGTGAGTTGTCGCATTTTCCGCCAGCGGGCAACTGAACGAATAAACCGGGTCGAAGTTCTCGTTTTTGTCCACCTCTTAAGGTTTGTCTTAGGATATTCCCAGCGGATGTGAATGTGGCCAGCCTTGCTCTCTGCTCCATCCCCATCATTGCTGCTGCTGCCGCCATCACTCTTGTCTTTTGCCTGCCCAGAGCCTTCAGCATCAGAGCTACTTGAAGAATCACTGCTAGACTCTTCACCCGAGCTCGTTCCATCTTCATCCATTTCTGTCACTTGCTTTTTCTCCTCGTGCTTTGGTTTCTGTCGCTTTTGGGACACCTGAGCCTGTCCACCTTCTGGGCCTTCCTTCTTTTGACCCTTGGCTTCTGCATCTGGAATCTCTTTTGTTGTGGTCGTTGTTCTTTTCCTCTTCTTGGCATCCTCGTGGGCCCCATCCTGATTTGCATTCTTCTGATCGTTTTGTTTTGATTTCTTGGATGTGTCCTTTTTCCTTTGTGCACTCTGTTTGTTCTGTTTCTTGTCCTCTTCTGCACTCTCCTCATCCTTTGCCAGACTCTCCTCTTCTTCTGCAGCTTCTGCGTTGTCTTCTTGTCTTCCTGCATCCTTTTCACTGATTTGCTCTTCCTCTGATGCAGGCTCCTCTTTCTCCACTTTGATGTTTTCTTTCTTTTCTGCACTCTCTCCACCATCCTCTGAAGCGGGATCCTCCTTCTCCGCTTTGCTGTGTTCTTCCTCTTCTGCACTCTCTCCACCGTTTTCCTCTTCATCATCTTCTTCCTCTGAAGCGGGGTCCTCTTTCTCCGCTTTGCTGTCTTCTTCCTTTTCTGCACTCT